TTTCTGTCTCTCCCCCCCTTTTCATGTCCATCCTCCCCTCCCGCCCCCCCATCTCCCATGTCTCAAGCTGTTCTACCTCAATCTAGTCTCATTCTGAATTCTCCTTGAATTTCTACCTACAGAGACCTTTCCAGAGCAGCCTCTGTACACCAAATAGCTTTTTAGCTATTTCCCCCCCTTTTCTTTGTAGTCCCAGACAACAGCAGTCACGGTGCTGCCTTGACCATTGGGGAGGCAGTATTCTGCCTTTGTTTTTCTTGCAGCTGCTTTAAAATCCAGATCAGATGCTACATGGCAAGAGGGGAAGTCGTCAAAAAATGTGGAGCAAGAGCAGGAGGTAGAGGAGAGACAGGAAGTAAAAGTCTGTGTCCTGGTTCCCTTACAGTCTCTGTTGCCGAAAGGAAATTCCTGTGCAACAAAGCATGGCCTCCACCGTAAGGTCTCAACCTTCCCCACATACACCTTTGGGTCTGAACAGCACCGGTGTGGGGAAAGATTCCTATCAACTGACCATCTGCCTTGATGGGCCATGCCTCATCTGAGTCTTATCTCAGACCCGGCTGCTGTGGGTGTCACCTTTCCAGGGTCTTAGTTTCCTGTTCGTAAAGCCTGCTCTTGTCTCACAGGCGGCTCAGACCCACAGTCCCATGGAATGAATGTATTCTGCTGTTCCTGTTCCTCACATTGAAGTAGACTATATGCATCGGTGTGCTTCAAGCCTCCCTGGGGGTCTTTTTCCTCGATCACAACTTTCCTTATCACACCTGAGTCCTCTAGCCAGCGTTAAGCACAGGCCTACATACCTCACAAAGATTCAGACTCTGGCCCACAGCTGCAGCCATTTGACTAAGGATGTGTCATGTGGGGCCACTGCAATCCACTCACAAAGTTCACTAGGTGTGTGCAGTTGTCTTTTAACTCTTCTGTCATATATTACATCCCTACCACAGTTTCTCCTCTATCCTTTCCTCTTGTGGTGGTTTGAAAGAAAATAGTCCCCAAAAAGAATGGCCCTGTTAGGAAGTGTGGCCTTGTTGGAAGTGTGTCACTGTGGAGGTGGGTTTTGAGCTCTCCTGTATGCTCAAGCCACACCCAGTGAGACAGACCACTTCTTGTTGCCTGTGACTCAGATGTAAGAACTCTCAACTTCTCTGGCGCCATGTCTGTCTGCACACTGCCATGCTTTCTACCATGGTGATAATGGACTAAACCTCTGAACTGTAAGTGAGCCACCAGAGTTTAGTGTTTCCTTTATAAGAGTTGCCATGGTCATCATGTCTCTTCACAGCAATAGAAACCCTAACACAGACACCTCCCAAGCCCTCCCCTCATCTTCACTCTCCCCCAGATCCACTCTGTTTCCCTTCAGAAAGGGGAAGGCTTCCCAGGGATGTCAACCAAACATGGCTTATCAAGTTACAATGAGACTAGGCACAAACCCTCATGTCAAGGCTGGAATGAGGCAACCCGGTAGGAGGAAAGGAATCTCAAAAGCAGGCAAAAAGCAGGCCCCTGCTCCCACTGTTAGGAGTCCCACATCAAGCTACACAGCCATAACCTATGTAGAAGACCTAAGTCAGACCCATACAGGCTCCCTGATTGTTGGTTCAGTCTCTGTGGGCCCATATGAGTCCCGGTTAATTGATTCTGTGGGCTGTTTTCTTGTGTCCTTGACCCATTTGGCTCCTCTCTTCCACAGGGTTCCTCAAGCACTGTCTAATGTTTGACTCTAGGTCTCTGCATCTCCTCCAATCAGTGGGTGCGTGTAAATTTATAAGCATTTCCATCCCTTAGGGAGTATTTACTTAGGGACATTATTTCTCTTAAAGTCTGCCTTATTCTTATTAACCTGAGCCATATTTCTTTTGGTTAACATTCTGGTACTTCAGTTTATTAAATATCTCCCTCTAGTATCTAACATCAACTAGATTTTACTTAATCAAACCAGAATTTTTTTCTTTTTTAAAGATTACTTTTTTAAGTATATGAGTGTTTGTATGTACACCATTCTTGTGCCTGGTGCCTGAAGATTCCCAGTTATAAAATGGTTATAAACTGTTATATGAGTGCAGGGAACTAAACCTGAGTCTTGTGCAAAAAGCAGCAAATACTCTTAATCACTGAGCCATCTCTCTAGCCCCTAGAAAATTTAGATGGCCACTGATAAAACTGAGCTGATTTCTGCTTTAACTTACCATGTTTGTTTTTTCTTGTTGCTTCACTTTTGGGCACTAAGTAGGGTTGGTGACAAAGTATGTTTTCCTTGATATTTTTTTTCATGCCTATGCTTTTACAAGTTGAAAGTGTATTATTTTCCTGGTTACAAATTGCTTAAATGAATACGTACGTTTCCAACATCCATAGCTGGTATAAGTCAGTACCTTGCCCCTAAGATTCCCCCCAGTCTCCTGGAAAAGTTTCTGAACCCTGATAAGCCTCACCACCAACACGGCAATCCCAATCAGACCAAATCAAACCACCCCCAGGAGAGGAGACAGAAAAGAGACTAAAAAACCACATTCTGTTTTCGGGGGGAGGGGGGCAGTTTAATACCCTGTGGGAGTGGTCTTGAGCATCTCTGGCAAAGGGGTTGTCATTTGGCAGGCTTCCTGAGATGAGTTAGGGTTTGGAGAGAAGTAAGCGAGGGGGCTTGGGGTGGAACTTCTACCAGAACATTCCAGACTCTTTGTGGATGCCAGGCGCTGGGGTGGAGCTTCCATCAGAACATTCCAGACTCTTTGGATGTATGGATACCAGGAGCTGGGGTGGAGCTTCCATCAGAATACTCCTTCCTATCTGTCTTCCTGAATCAGTTTTTTCCATAGTTGTTTGAAAGGAGCTCTTTTTCATTCTTGCTCTGTAATGTAATTTAATGATAATCTGGTTTTGTTTTTGGTTTTTCGAGACAGGGTTTGTCTGTGGCTTTGGAGGCTGTCCTAGAACTAGCTCTTGTAGACCAGGCTGGTCTCGAACTCAGAGCGAGCCGCCTGCCTCTGCCTCCCTAGTGCTGGGATTAAAGGCGTGCGCCACCAATGCCCGGCTAAACTTAAATTCTTACTAGTAATTTCCTCAAATGGTATTTGAGAAAGTTTTTTTGATATTTGAGAAAGTTTTTTTTATCTTGAGCAGTTAAGGTACCCAGTATTTTTAGCTTCAGTGAATATGTTTCCTATTTTTAGAAGTTATATTTTATTTTTATGCCTGTATAATGTTCTTTAGTCAGTATCATATTTTTAATTCTTCCTTTTCTATCTCTTAACACATATTTCGTTACTTTCCTTTTTAATTCTTTTACCTGAAGTTTTAGAAGTTTGAGTGAACCCTTGTTGGAAGGGCTTTCTCTACAGCCCTGGGATAAGGGCTTTGTCTCTGTGCAGCAGATTCCATTTGCTTTGCCTAGAACCCATGACTTGTTAGGATCCAGCAGTGAACTCCACTTGCAAGTTTCCACACCACACCTGTACTCTGACCGTGGAAAACAGTGGCTCACCCAGAGCACCCTTCTTTGTGTCAGCTAAGGCTTTTCTCATGGCCTTTCTATAGCAAGAACATACCTGTTTCCTTACAAACCTTGCTCAGTACAAGACTTGTCTGGACAGGGGCAGCCACTTGAGAACACAAGGGACTCAGTGCCCTTGGCAAACACACTTAGGGTGACTGTGAGTGAGGAAGACCAAAATGACAGGCTAGAGTGTTTGTCAGCATCACAAAAACTCTAAGGAGGTTCTAAAAGGAGGTCTAAACTGACTGAGGTAACAGTCAGTGCTCATGGGTTTGGGAACTAGTGCTCATCCAAGAAAACGCTGACAGTGGCAATTCCGAACTCATATCCTCTCTCTTCCAGGTGAGCATCTGTCTGGAATGCAACAGCAGCAAACTACGGGGCCTGAAGCGGAAGTGGATCCGATGCTCAGCCCAAGCCACAGTGCTGCATCTGAAGAAATTCATCGCCAAGAAGCTCAATCTCTCCTCCTTCAATGAGGTAGCCATCAGCCAGAAAGTGGAGATAGGTCCTTCTTCCCTGCCTTGTTTGTTAAAATATCAGCCAGAGATACACATCCCCTTCTTTTAGTAGTCTTGTTTGGAGAGTTTTAAAAAAATGTTTTAATTAGATTTATTTAGTGAGTGGGTGTAGGTGTGTGCAGTGGCACTTGTATGTAGATCAGAGGAGAGCTTGCAAAAGCCAGTTCTCTTCCTCCACTGTGTAAATTGCTCTAAAGACCAAGCTGGCCTTGAACTCATAGAGATCCGCCTCCCTCTGCCTCCCAAGTGCTGGGATTAAAGTCGTGTACCACTACCACCCAGCAGAAGTTAGGGGTTTTTTTTGTTTTTGTTTTTTAGTAAAAAATTTACTTCTTTTTTATATGTATGAATGTTTACCCACATGTATATGTGCCATGTGCATGTTGGTGCCCACAGAGGTCAAAAGAGGACATCAGAGCCCCTAGAACTGGAGTTAACATTTGTTAGCCACCCTATGGGCAAGGGGTACCAAAATGTTCTTAATCACTGAGCCAGATCATCTCTCTAGCTTCTTATTTGGAAATTTTAATAAGAAAAAAAAATCTTAATTTGTTTTCCCTATCCTTCCAGGTAGTATGGAAGGAAATAACACTGAAAATGTGCAAAACACAAAGAATAGATTATTTGAGGATAAGTTACAGTTGTAATAATAATAGAGAACTTTCAGTTTCATGTGTGCCTGTGAACACTGGGTGTCCTGCTCTGTTCCTTTCTACCTTATTCCTTTGTGACACGCGGTCACTGAGTCGGGAGCCTGGCTGGCAGCGCATGTCACAGTCCTCCTATCCCTTTTCTTCCATAGCACTGGGGGGGGGGGGTGCAGACTCATGCCCAGCTTTTTGTTTTTGTTTTTCGAGACAGGGTTTCTCTGTGGAACAGCTCTGGCTGTCCTGGAACTAACTATGTAGACCAGGCTGTCCTCAAACTCACAGAGATCTGCTTGGCTCTGCCTCCCGAGAGCTGGGATTAGAAGCGAGTGCCACCACTGCCTGGCTCATGCCCAGATTTTTATCTCTGAACTCAAGGCCTTATGTAGAGCAAGTACTCTTAACCACTGAGCCATCACTGCAGTCCCAGAACTTTGTCTTTTAATTTAATGAGTGAGTGGGTGGTGGATGGATGAATAACCGGGAGACAGATGACGTTTACAAATTAATAACTAAAAACAAACAAACAAAAACAAAGTAGGCCCAGAAACCCAGGCTTGTTGTGGGGGTTCATGACAGAGACTTGTGAGCACATGTGCTCAGAAACTCAGGCTATGTGGCACTGGGGCAAGAACAGCAAGAGCTAGTCCTGCTGCATCAAGGAATGGTCAGTGATTTGAAGTGTTGCCTCAAAAGTGTTCCGAGGCTGTGTGGAAAGGATTTAGAGGACACATGGACCCCGTCAAAGGCAGAAGATCCAGCTTGCTGCAGCAGGAACATGTGAGTGGTTGAGAATGGTCTAGAGAGTAGTAGGTAGAGCTGTGCTAGCCATTGAGCCAGTGTCCCAGTGGGAGTCCCCTGGAAGAAGGTCTTGGCAGAAGTAACATCTCAGATTATCTGCTAAGCTGAAACCCAGGGACAAGCATCTTGTATATTGGTATGCAGGAGAAGATTTTAGACCCAGGTTAGAGGAGGCAGGACAAGAGAGACTGAAATGACCTAGCCATGGGACCCTAGAAACTATGGGACAAGAGGATCTTCTTGTGCTCAGTGAACCTCAGGTCTGTGTGCAGAAAACTCCATCTTAGCCCCATGGTACTGGAGGCAGAGCCTTGGGCGGGGGGGGGGGGGGGTCTTTAAATCAGGACCTGTACCTGGGGAATCTGTTTTCTGCTCTATTATAGCCTGCAATGGTATCAGGTGCCTACATTATGACCAGAATTCCAGCCTCTAGCACATATTAACTGTTAACCAGTTATATTATCATTAATTGTATTATTAAAATATGTTGATGTTTTGTTATATTAACTGTTTATCAGTTGCCCAGTCTATGCCATTTAATTATAGCCACACTGAAAGATACTCCTGGCAGTCCTGCCACAGTGCTCTCTCAGAGCTGTGTATCAGACTCGGGAACCAGGGTTTTGTACTTTCAAAGGGCCCAACGCTCAGCCCTGAACCAACCACATGAGTGGTTGTGGAATAGGTGGCAGATACAGAATGAGGACATAACTTGATGCCAGGAGCCCACAGGATAAAGCAAGTCTAGGTTTGGTTTATTTGAGGAATAAGGTAGAGGAAAGCCTTGGACCCCATGAAGGTAAAGATGTCCATTTTGATTCAAAGTGGCTTCTATGCACTGTACGGGGCCAGAGACATCAGGCAGTTCAAGGGAGACTGCCTACCATGTGCAGGAACATTTCTCCATGAGGACCAGAAAGAAGTGAAGCATTTTCATTGCAACTGGCTATCAGCTTATGAGTATCCTAGGTGGATCTCACACTGCTCTCAGAGCCCTGTAGTCCCATATGTTACATGAAGTGTGGGGAGCATTGTCACGCACATTGGATAAGGATGGAAGACTGTACTAAGAGCAAGTCATAAGAACTGGGTGAGGGCATTATGCTTCACTGAGGACAATAGCTTATATGCAGATTGTTTATTGTAAGGTACACCACTTAGTGAAGATGACAGCAGGCAGTTGAGCTTTTATAGACCCAAAGGCTGGTTTTCCACTTATCTCTCTGTCTACAAGAAACACAGCCTCCTATGTGGCCTGTGAGAATAGCTTTTGTCACCTGCCTAGGGTGATACCAAGACAAGACCATCTGGGTCATTGTTTCACACACTTAGGGAAATACCAATTAAAACACAACAGTGAGTCATCACCGTGTATGTCCTCAAGCACCCATGTACAGATTATACAATGGCAAGCGCTCTCCAGATGAGCCTGGAGCAATGGAGGCCAGTGCTGGCCAGTTACACCTGTAAGCATTAGGCTTCAGACTAGGAGGTGCAGAACCACAATTAGGTGCCATTTGGAATAGGCTGTTGTCAGGAAGATGACAGCCAGGTGGCTCCTCACAGACCGAAGGACAGGATACATAACCCCATATGCCATAACAGCCTAGTCTCCATAGGAACATGTGTATGTAAGATGAGGCGAGAGATCCTAAAAGTGCTGTAGGTAGTAAAGCCCAAGAGCATATTTCCCCCCACTACACCTAGAACGGGATAGCTAGGAATAAATGGTTAGGGCAGCCATGGTGAAAGCATCCTGGTCTGAAACCCATGATGGTGTAGGCTAGCGGATGGGTGTAGATCAGTCTCTGCAGCTTTGTGAAGAAGGCCCTGTGTGTTCTATGTGGATAAGGTCCTATGTGCTCTGTGTGGACCAAGCCCTGAGTTCTGTGTGTTAAGAGAAAAAAAAAAGATATTGTGACTTTTTTGGTATGCCTTCCCACCTTGCTGTCTGGGTAACCCGGAGACACTGCTGTAGCTTACTGAACTGTTGGTGATGGCTAGGCCCGTCAACGGTTAGTGGGTGAGCACAGGAAGGGAGGACAGTGACTTGAGATCAATGAGTGGTGGATCCCTCGGATCCACATGTGATGTCTCCAGAACTTCATTTAGAGAAGCCCAGAGCCGGGATAGGGACAGGGCAGGTATCATTGATGCTCAGAGGAACCAGGCTAAGCCTCTTAGGACCAGTGCAACACAACCATGAAACACACCACTATATCTTTGACCCCTGAAGAAGGTTTGGTCTTAACAGAAATGTTCCTTTTCTGTTATAACTCGTGTTTGCTGCTGACTTCTATATTGGATGATGCAGGTAAGTGAGTAAGCAAACAAGCTATATTCCTACATGAGTGGGGAGGGGCTTGTTTCAGAGCATATGAGAGCAGTGTTCATACTATCACTGTTGGCCTCATTCTAATGGTAGGTTGAATATGTACCTAATTGAAGCCCCTTCTCCCAACAGCTGGACATTTTATGCAATGAGGAGATCCTGGGCAAGGACCACACTCTCAAGTTCGTGGTTGTTACAAGGTGGAGATTCAAGGTGAGTGAGCCTGGGTGGTTCTTTTAGATGCCAGGGTTTAGATAGATTCTTGATCCTTGCTTGCTGTGCGTGACTTCTATTTGCAGGCACAGCTGGGAGTCATCCATTCAACCAGGGTCGTCACTCACCCCACTCAATCCTCTGAGTACAGGGGACCAGATGTGGTAACTGTCACAGTTGGAGCAAACTCAAACTTTGGGGTACCCTTCAGAGTCAGGAAACTGGTGTTGTGGTCCCTGCTCAGGACCAGAATGCAGCTCTTTCACCTCTAGCCATGTTTCTGCCCAGGAAGAAGGGGATGGAGACAACTGGGCTAGTCAAAGGCCAGGATGAGCATGTAGTTGGTGCTGACCAGGGCAAAGGTTTGGAAGAGTGTTAGAAACTACATAGGAGAAACCAGAGCTAGTGTAGTAGGCAGGAGGAGCAGTTGAGGTTCTGGCTTCACAGGTCCTGTCATGAGCCCCAAACACCACAGAGGTGGCCACTGGATTCCATAGTGGCATTGCTGGTACAGTGTGTGCCTGTGGTTTGAGTGCACAGTGTAGGCTCCTTATACCTCCCTGAGCCACCTTTGTTTTTGTCTTGCAGAAGGCACCCCTCCTGCTACACTACAGACCCAAGATGGACTTGCTGTAAGCCCAGCCAGACTCAGCCCACACCCAGTGTTCTACACGGCAAAATGTGCCGTGGAATGTTGCCTCTGGGTGCCATGTGGACCAGATTTCTGAATAGAGAATATTTATAACTTTTGTATGAGAGAATCCACTCCCAACAAGACACTACCAGCACGCGTTTACAGAGGATGAAAACACTTCGCAGTTTGCTCGTCTCTGCTTCAGGTCCCCAGGCCAGAGAATAAGTGAAATAGTGACACGTTTCCACACCACGTCTGAATACAGCACCTCTGCTTGCTTTCCAGGTCTTGAGAATCAGAGTTTGTTTTGGTTTAATTCGTGGATTAGTTTTCATGATAAGCCTCAGAAATACTTGTACTTTCATTAAGTCCTTCCTAAGTTATTGAAAGTCTTTTTGTGGTATATATTTATGTTGCCTTTAGCTTCCTGAAGACTTAAGAGATATATAAAAATTTAATTTAAAGTATACCCAAAGAGGCTTGCAGTAATACTATTATTTAGCCATGGTGTTTAATTTCCCACTTTCTAGAGTACAGCAGAGGCCCATTCCCAAGTTTGATTGAGTCTTGTGCTGTGCACCCTGGGATGGTGGTCTGTGCTGGGTGGGCAAGGCAAGACCCTTCATCACTCCCCAATGTCGTGTGGCTGCAATTCCGGCACCCTCGGTAAGGCAAACTAGAGGTGGTTTGGCCAGTGCAGCGCTGGCTTGTTGAAAAGTTCTTGAGATAATTATCCTTGGAAATGCCATCACTGAAGTTCCTGCCTTTCCCTTTTTGTTTTTCTTCTGCTAGCAAGATGTGGTGGCTATGTTTGTCACTTATCAAACAGCACAAGCCATCCTGTGGGGAGACCTTATGAAGACACTTGGGAGGCAGCCTCTAGCTTCCATGTCCCTGGTAGTTGGTATTCCCAGGCTTGCCTTCCCGCTCATGGGGTTAACATGCATTCTTTGGGCCCCTTTTTCAGGAAAGGTAACTGAGCTACCTGTTCAGCAGAAGTTGCTTTTTTAGTCACAGACAGGATACTTACTATTTGTTAACCTGCCCCTTCACATGTAATTTTTGTTTTTTTTTCGCTGGGTTAGAGAGTAAGATGCCAACATATCCAACTTTATTCTCTCTTGAAAGGGGTATGAAGGCAAGAGTAAGGAGAAGGGGTACTGCCCTGGGGTTCCCAGGGACCTCTCTCAGTCTGGGTACCCTCTTACACACCCCCCCCCACCCATGGGAACTGCAGAACCCTGTAATCCCAGCGGTGGGCAGATGAGGATTTTAGTGTGTCCCTTGGGGCCAGGATTTCTGAGTCTTCGCCTTAGCAACTGGAATTTTTCTTGGATTTGCTTTGACAGTTGGGATTGGGTTTATCAGCACCCTTGTTTTCTTCTACTTCCTCTTTCACTTACACAGTGTCAGAAGCAGCGACTAGTGAGACCCAATGTTACTAAGAATAAAACATCCAAATTAGCTCAACCTTTAATGTGTGACCTTCTAAAACAAAAGCAAGCTCTTTGTTTAGAATTGATCAAAATTCACCTCTATTTAAGCCCAGGACTGTTTGGACTATTCAGTTTCCTGAGTTTGCTATTCATCCAAATCATTTCTAGAGTTACTATACAAGGGTTTATGCGTAAATATTACCTGTCTACCTCAGAACACAAGTGCTGCTGAAGCATTCTGCAAGACCGTGTTCTCACAATGCAGTTACATTAGAATTTAGGTATTTTCCCATGTGGTGAAATTAAAGAAGAGTTAAACAGTTAGAAACTTCCAAATTAAAATAAAGTTAATTTACAGTTCAGATCAAACTTAGTATGGCTGTATAATCTCATGATATATATTTGTAACTTTGTAGCTACTTTTAGAACCACTTGACTTTGCTATGGTGCTAAGTTGATAGATCTACGTATTCAGCGAGGCGGACATTGCACCTGACGTCCCAGCTGGGCGCCACTGCCCCAACAGCCCTGCTTCTGTCACCACGCTAACCTGATAAACCTCAGCAGCAAAAATACCTATTTTTCTAAGATTCCATCATACGCCTGTCTGTACTGCAGACAGTTTCCCGATGCCCTTCTGCCCTTTGATCTGACCTGTAGCCTTACCTCGCTCATAGATGAAGCAGAGTGAGCTTGCGTCAGATGGAAGTTTCCAGGCGCCTGGTTTCACTCCTGCCAAGCTCCATGTGACATCCAAGGCCAAATTTTATTTTTCCAGCATGAACACTAGGATCAGTTGGTGATTGGTCCTGTCCAGCTTTTTTTCCAGCGTGAACATTAGGATCAGTTGGTGATTGGTCCTGTCCAGCTTTCTCAGCAGGTGGAGCTCCTGTGAAGTTGTTTTCATAGCTGCCGATGCTAGCAATCGGTGTGTCCAACCGGCAGCCCCGGGACCAGCCTCCCAGCAAGTGGTCTCGCTTAATACCGTTTTCACAAAAATAGAAAACTCAGATAGAATATATAATATTGAATTTAAGATTTGGGGGGTTAAAAAAGAAAACTTAACTTTATAAAATTATTTATTCTATTTTAAGCCTTCTATCATATTTTCCCATCCAGTTGTTTGGTTTCTGTGGTCCAGCTTTATTTACAGGCATATAAGATAAAATTGTGAGATGTTTTGCAAGCTTCTTTTACTTTATGTAGCCTTTGGTTTGTATGTTTTTATAGGGATGAAGAGCATTTTTATGCTTTTGTGCAATAGGCTCCAACATGCATTTATTAGAGTGTTTAAATTGTGATCTAGCATCGATTCTACTAAATTGAAAGGGAATATAGGTGGAATTTCAATATCTGTGCATTCTTTGGTTTTGCCTTTTCCACTGTTATAAGAATGCTGTTATTGGGATTGCAAGTGTGTGTGTGTGTGTGTGTGTGTGTGTGTGTGTGTGTGTGGATATGTTCCATCAATATTAAAAGATAAGCAGCCAGGCAGGAAGTGATGAGGTTGGCACCATGTTAGGCTTGGCATCTACTGTGGGTACGCCCAAGTCCTTGAGCTGAGTATGTGGCTGAGCCATCCTGGGAGTTGGGATTTCGTTGTCTCCACCTATAAACCTGGCAGTGCTGCTCTTCGTGGGCCTACTGGCCCCTGATGCCTGCCCTGGCATCAGAATCTTTAGAGGCTGGTGTGTTTTGTTTCTGAGGGCATACAGGGTGGCGTATCACAGTGCTCTGAAATGTATCATTAGATTACATGTTCCAGGAATGAGCCAACTGAGTTCTACTTTGTATATCAATATATAATATGCTCCTAAAACACTTAAAATAAATTTAGTACAGATAGTGACCTCTCTCTCTCTCTCTCTCTCTCTCTCTCTGTCTCTCTTTCTCTCTCTCTCTCACACACACACACACACACACACACACACACACACAGCCAGTATCTGTTTCCTCAGGAAATCATTTAAACCCCAACACATCACAGGTGACCTTAACATGAAAATAACTCTGCCTTGATATTACATATACCAAGTAAATAAACTGGGATACACAGATTAGAAAAGTCACTTACTTGCACCACTGTCTGCATAGCTTGCATTCCTTCAGGCAGGGAGTACTGCCCCCATCAGGAACAACTGTGTGGTTCTGTGGCTCTCACAACCAGTGTTCCTACTGTCACTTACTCCCATCCAAGAGCACATTTGGAGAAAGAACTAAAGTGTGCCCGTGAGATATGTGTACTGCTTTAGCATGTCAGTTCAAGCTCTCAACTTGACACACTTTTCCCAAGTGAAGTAACATCATCAGTCACAGGCAGCTGTACCACCTGAGCTCTCACCTGGGAATGCAGCCACAACTAGCAATTGTCATGGTGTATGAAATGATGCAGATTCAGAGTTTTTGACTGTTTTAATTTGAAAGTTTACATTTTTTATGATTGTGTTAGTGTGTAATTTTTGTACCATCAGTGGCTGGTTTTTGTCTAAAATCTTTTTTGGAATATTGCTTAATGTTTTGATTTCATGATAGTGAAGCTTGTATTCAGTGTTTTGCCAATTAATATTATATGCTTGTAATAAAAGCAGAAGAAAAACTTAACTAAAATCTCCTGGACTGGAAATGTTTTACTTGAAGTATCTGTAAAAGCTTAGGACAGACCATGTGTTAGAGTATAATCACCCCTCTCCATCTGTAGGCTCAGTCATCCAGGGATGGAAAATAGTCATAAAAATACACAGGATTTTGTTGTTGTTGTTGTTGTTGTTGTTTGTTTTGATATGATTCTGTTTTAGCTTTTTGGGTTTTTTGAGACAGAGTCTCTATGTAGTCCTTGCTGCCCTAGAATTCTCCGAACTGGCCTTTAACTCACAGAGATCTCTTTCTTCCTCTGCCTCCTGAGTGTTAGGGTTAAAGGTGTGGGACACCATGCCTGGTCACAGTGTATAAAATTAGCTGTTTTATAAAAGGAAATTGAGCATCCCCAGATTCTGGTACCTACAGGGGATCTGACCTCAGTTGTACCAAGGGGTTTCTATCATGTTGAGAAGTGCTCTAGATGCTCACCATTGAGGCCTGCCTGCTGGTGCCTGTCAGTGGGCTGAAAGAACGATTGCTTCTTATTTTAGACAGTTTACTTCCAAAAAGCAAGGGGAAAAGCACTAGTCAGACTTACAGTTTTTAAAAGTTTAGTCTTGCAAGCCTGAGAAAACTAAAGTTGGAAGGCAAGAAGTTAGTGGCCAAAATTAGGTTCTGATGGCCTTAACTAAGTTCTGTGTGTTGTGTGTGTTCCAGAAGATGTTAAATGTCCTAATCTGTCACTTTCCACCTTATCCTTGAGATGGGTCTGTCACTGAATCTGGAACTAGGTAGTGGCCAACAAGCTCTTGTAATCCCCCCCACCCCCTCTCGTTACTAGAATTATAGGCATGCATAATCACATCTAGCATATGTGGGTTCTGGGATTTGAATTCAGGTCCTCATTGCTTGTACAACTGTGCTTGTCCACTGAGCCACCTCCTTGGCTCCTGACTTGTTTCTTTTTCTTGTTTTTGGCAAGTCATTACACATCATACTGGATGTCAGGATATATCTGTACTGTAGGCAAACAGGGAGTAACTGTCTTAGTTACTTTTTCTGTTACCATGACAAAACACCAGGACCAAGGCAACTTGTAGGGGGAAAAAAGCATTTAATTTGGGGTTCATGGTCCAGAGGGTAGTAGAGCACCCTGTGGAGCATGGCAATAGGCAGTCAGGCTTAGTGCCGAAGCAGTAGCTGAGAGCTTACATGATTAAATCACAGCCATGAGGCAGAGAGGGAGATAACTGGGAATGGCCTGGGCTTTTGAAACCTCTTCCAACAAGGCCATACCTCCTATTTCTTCCCAAACAGCTCCACCACCTACAGGACAAGCATTCAAATATGAGTCTATGTGGGTCCATTCTCACTTAAACCACTACAGTATCAAACACAAATCTATAGATCCAAGTTGGTTGCTGCCATCCGATTTCCAGGTGAGATTAGTGGGTGATGGGATGTGAGATTGCTGTTACTCCTAGAGCTGCCGAACAAGACAGTTCCTTCAGGGAGATAGTGTCTTTCCCTTCAAAGATCCTCATTTGCTACATGGATGCAGCCCAGGGTGCCTCTGCCATGGTGGGTGGGCTGTTTCTCTAGTGCTTTTCTGTGTGCTCTACCTGGCCCCATGTGGTCTTGTGAGCATCAAATGTGACTACCCTAACATGCAACAGGCAGGTGAAAATGGGTGGTATTTTGATGCAGTTATCAACAGACATTGCTCTTCAAAAGCACACTTTTCTTGGGGAGACATTTACAAACATCTGTTCGCCTCGGAACAAAATACAGGTACCACCAAAGTCCAACTTGCTGAACCAGTGCATTTCACTGGGTTTTACTTAGAAGCAGAAATTACTCAGTCAACTGCATCACCAAAAGCCCAGCCCAGCCTGGGTGACAGTTTATAAAAGCTGGGAACCCGGAACACACTGAACAACAGGCAGCTCAGCAGATTGGGTGTGTGGTCCTTTCCTAGTGGTCTGAACTTTTTCCAGGCAGCTCAGCTACTCTCTTTAAGGCTGCTTATCTTGTTTTTGCTTCTTCCTGGAAGCTAAACTGACCTGAGAGAGCAGTCTTTACTGTTTAAATACTCATGGGGAGGAGGGGTCTAGCAAATCTGATCAGTTTCAGGGACTTCCTGAAGCAATTTTGAGACGCTGTCTTCCTGGCATAAAGGAGCTTCCCTGTAGGATGGAGTGTTTCACCTCCCCTTAGAACAACCAGTTCTAAAAGAGTCTCTTGTTTAGCTTCTCTTTTAAATCCTATGTCTAAAGTTTCCCTTCAAGATGGAAGGCTTTAACCTTGGAAGAAACTGCTAAACAGAAGCACGCACTTTCCAGAGAGGCCCAAAAGGGTTACTGATCCCCAAGACAGGTCTTCATCTAATTCTGGTTTAAACTAAAGACTTTCCATTTTCTTCAGCTTGGCCAGTAGGGGTTTTGGGGAGGCCAGTGTCCCAGCAACGGGCAAATGTTCCTTCTACTAGAAAGATTTATCTTATTTTACCAGCATGTTGCTTTAAATGTGAGTTAACAGTGTCTTGCTAACCCTGAAGAAAGGAATGAGGCCAGGTGTGGAGGCTCATACCCATAATCCCAGCACTGAGAAGGCTGAGGTCTAGACTGCAGCAAGTTTGAGGGATCCTTGACTTCATAGTCTTTTAGAGGAGGGTGGGGGAATGGGATGGATGGGACTGGAAAGATGGTTCAGTGGTTAAGAGCACTCAGCTTCCAGCACTCACGTAGTGCCTACCAAGCAACCGAATGTAATTTCAGTTTCAGGGATCTCCATGAACACTAGACACATGGTGCACAGACATGCATGCAAAACACTCATACATGTAAAGATTCAAAATACATATTTTTAAAGACTAAGCCATGTGTGCTGGGGTACACCTATAATCCTAGCACTCAGGGAACTGCAGGGGGATAATGAGTTTATGGGCAGCCTGGGCTGAAAGGGTTGGGGCTGTCTCAGGACCCCCCCCAGACCAAGTTCTCAGCACAAAGATTTATTTGCCCCAGAGGGACAGAGAGTAGGAAATAAGAGACAAAGATAGGAGATAGAGGGAGAAGGGGACAGGAACCAGGGAGAGGAAGCAGGAGTGTCTGTCCCAGAGGGGGACAAAGAACTGCCTCTGGATAAAGGAGACAGACGTGGCCCATAAGAAAATGGTGGTTTATAAAGGTAAAAAGGGAAACTCCAATTTAGGATGAGGTGTTTAATTTTAATTGGGCATATTCATTAGGTGAGCCAAAGGGGGCTTTTGATTGCTGGGCCTTGCTAGTTAGCCCCAGGAGGAAGTGACCAAATAAGGGAATAGACCTTGGCTAGCTTTAAGAATGTAATCCAACTGTTTTTTAGCAATGCAGAGGACATGGAGAAGAGCAAGGCCTGCCAGAGCCCCATTTGCCATGCTTGGACTGGTTAGAGGCAATCCTTTCATGGGCTATGTAATAAGACTCAAAAATGTTTTTTGTTTTTGTTTTGTTTTGTTTTAAGGTAGACTAGCATTTTGTTGGATTTTGATTGCTCTGGAATACTCTGAGTTACTAACTGAATACAGTGTAGGGTAAAAGGTCTGAGCTCACCTCCAGATTTCAAAACCCACAGAAACCTGACTTTGAAAGCCTACCAATCCCTGGACTTGCCCCAAACTCAGGACTTGAGCTCCTACTAATCCCTACCCTAGAAAAGGCCTCCGCAAGAAACCCTGTTCAATTCCCCGAAGCCACCTCTTGTGTGAGGTTGTTGCACAGTGTGACTCTGGTAGTCCTTGGCTCCTGACTATCAGGGTACCTTTCCCCTCAGAGCTGCAACGCTTACTCATAAATCTGTCTAGACCATGATGACGGATGGCACAGGGCAGGGCAGCCTGCTCCACAGACAGTGCTCTGCCTGGTTTGCTTTGGATTTTGATATTTCAAAGGATCATTTGACTATTATTTATTCTTAAAAGTTTTAAATGTATATTGGCATTCCATGAAAGCAATACTAATTCTGTGAGGATTTTTAACCAGAACCTTTTGAAAAAATGAAAAAATCTGTACTTTATTTTTTTGAGACAGTTTCTCTGTGAAACAGAACTAGCTGTCCTGGAACTAGCTCTTGTAGACCAGGCTGGCCTCAAACTCACAGAGATTCCTGTCTTGAAAAACCAAAGGAAAAAGAAAGAAATGTGTACTACTTGTTCATTAAGTTAAATCTTCAAATAAATGCAAAACTGTTAATTTTTTTTAACGCATACAGATTCACTCTAATGAAGAGACAGGAAAGTTCTGTCACCTCAAGGAACCCTTTAATGCAAACCCACTGTTATCACATCCTAGGCTAGATTCTCTTTTTGAAAATGCCATTAATAGAATTGTCTATATATAACCTTTGCAATTTGATTTCTTCACTCTACTAAGTATCTGTGAAATACACCCTATTGATTTCATCAGCACTCCTCATTTAAATACCGAATGGTATTTCCCTGTGTGAGCACAGCAGATTACTGGGAACCTGATGTTATATTTTCATTTCAGTTGTTTTAATTTTTTTAGGTTTACCTTACATGTATGAGTGTTTTGTTTGCATGTATATATTTTCATGATGTTTGTATGGTGCCCACAGAGGCCAGAAGGCATCACTGAATCCCTAGAGCTGGAATTACAGACCATTATGAGCCACGAAGTGATTGCTAAGAATTGAGTCTGGGTATTGGAAGAGCAGCCAGTACTCTTAGCCACCGAGCCTTCTCTCCAGCTTTCAGAGCATCTTTTGTCCGTTTATTATATGGCTACATCCTTTGTGCAGTATCTGTCCAAGTCCCTCCCACTTTTGAGTTACTTGTTTTTCTTACTGTCGAGTTTTTTTTTTTAATTTAAATTAGTTTTCTGCCAAGTTTTAAGAAGTCCTTGCATATTCTGAAGTCATTTGGGTAAGTGATTTGCTAATATTTTTTCATCTCCACTTGTCCTTGTTTTCTTCCCCCCTTGACATTTCTTTCTTTTTTTTAAATTTTATTTTAGGGGCTGGAG